CAGGTACTAATTAATATATGATTAGACATTTTGAGACCCAAAATCAAATGAAAGCTTGGCTATCTTACACTAAGAGAGAAAAAATCACTGAAAGGCAAATCTAGAGAAAAGTTTTTGAGCAAGAACAAAGATCTGTGAGTGAGAGCTCACTCCAAGCTTCCCCTAAAAGCACAAGTAATACCTTATGGGAGTTCCTAAAGGGCCAGATATTGGTATAACTGCTTCACAAAGCTGTCATCTAAACCCACTTCAGATATTGCCTGAATGCAGATATCATACAAATGCAATCCTGAAAAAGGCTCACAAAACCTTTGGTTTTCTTCTCAGTCATTTTTGAAATAAATCCCTAGAAATCAACTTCAACATGATTTCTAGGGAGGAAACTAAGCAACTTCAGTTTTTCATACTTGGTTTTCAGTTTCCAGTTGCATATTCTAACCTATTGAGAAGTTTCATTTCCATTAAACATTACATATTATAGATATATATGTACAAATATAATACACATACTCTATAACCCATTGTGTGTGTGTTGGTGGTGGGGAGGTCAGTATTTTGCAAAGTATCCGAGAAGAAAAATTACTTCACAATTTTTCTTATTAGTTTATTCCTGGAAATTTTAATGGACCTTCATTCTGTTTTTTATACTTGAGTAATAGGTTAACTCTCCTGAGTGATATCACAATCAATGTGAAAATCAGTACTTAATAGTTACACACAAATAAGAAACATAAATCTGTAATAACAATCTACAAATGCCCTTTCTATATTAGTTGAGTATTTTAATCTCCCTTATACATAAGACAAGCTTCCAGTTGCACATCTTATTCTTCATTCAGGTGAGTTTTTCACCTTTCTTACTGGTGTTAGACTGAAAGCTTTTATTTACTGGGCCTTTTTCCCCTTCCTTACACAATTTCAAAAGAGTGAAAATTTTAGGAGCTATAGAAAATATATGGACACTTAAATCAGACAGTGCATAAGCTAAATTCAAGTTTCACCAATTTCTAACTTGCATTGTGTGATAATTTATTGAGCCATAGGGTTATATCTATGTAAAGAATAACATCTACCAAACAAGCTTGATGTAAGAACTTAATGAATAACTTATGTAAGACTATCATTGATACCTAACAAGTACTAAATAAATCCAAGGTATTATTGCCACATGTTACATGTATTAAGTCATCTATCTTGAGTTTTTTTCCAAATAAAATTTCTGAGATTTTAGAGGAATGGGCAAAGAAAGAAAAATGTTAAATTGTATATTTATTTTTAGTCAAGTATTTGTTGAGCATTGTATCCAGTTGTGCCATATCCTAGATAAAATGAATAAACCATGCCATCTAATAGCTCAAAGCTAAGTAGGGAAGACGGAAACACAAACAAATAATTACAACAGACTCTGAAAAGTGTACAAATTAGCATATTCATGAAGTATACTTGTGACTGATATAAGGAGTTTCAGCTAAGTATTCACAGAAAGAATACTTGGTTACCTATTAAAGGATGAATACACCTCCTTTACACATAACTGGAACAAGAAACTGTCTCAACCTTAAGTACTACAGAATGCATAAGTGAGTGCTCTAACAGTGAACAGACTCGAAAAACTTGATATGACCTTGTTTATAAGACTAGATCACCTAATTGATGGACTTAATAGCCCTTTACATATATCCCCTTTTTCTAACCCAGCATTAGAAATACTGAAATGCATTCTCTCTCTTCGTTCAGCCTCCTTGAACTTATCCACTCTATGTATGTATTGAATCATGAAAACAGCTGGGAATTTTCCTAGAGTTGCTTGCTTTTCAGCATTTATTATTTTCCTTCCTTCAGATAATATTCCATCTGCTTTTGGGAAACTACTAGTTACCCATTATCGGTCATGCAGTTTTGATGGTACTGCCTAGGGTTTATCGGCAAAGCTCACGTCCTTGGCCATAGTGATTGGGGTCAAAGAGGTGTTCCAACATACTGATTATTTACTGGATGAGTTAACTAATAAATAGATATAAGCAGGCTTCAGCCAATAGGCACATTATATTTTCCTGTCCATCAGAATTGCTGCAGGTATTGGCCAATAGTTTAGTCCAGTCCCAGAAGTGTGATCTTCAGAACAATTGTTAGGCCTGTGAGACATTAGCTTCTCTGAAGTGGCTGGTAGAAGAATGTGAAGGTCGCTGCTCTTGTACATCCCTTGAGAGGCACGACTGAAAGGGCTGGGGTAGACTAGAGGGTAAGGGACAGCATAAAGTGAAATTCTAATCATTAGAATTCTAGTTTCTAATTAAACTGAACGACTTATTTATATTATAGCCAATGATACCTCAGTTTTATTAATTCAATTTAAGTTGAATTATCAATCAGTTAGAGGAGAAAGAGCCCTAACTGGTAGATACTATTGTCTTTCTGGCCAACTTGTTGCAATTCTTCATTTGCATAAATTGGTAAACTTTCCACCTCGCAACAGTTTGGATCTTATCAGTTTAAAGAGAGGCAGTCTATTTTTTTTTTTAAATCAATTTTCCACTTGTTTCACAAAATCAGGACAATCCAGGAACTGCATTCTATGTAACTAAGGGCATTTCAGTGTAATACTTTCTGATACTTTTTCTCACTTTATTTCCTTTATGTTATCTCTTTTCTTCTCTGGTTAAGAGAGTCAGTTTCCATTTTCATGGGTCTTCCAATGGACTTTCTTTCCTAAAGCACCTTGTTTTTATTACAGATATTGTAGGTTTTAAGAAATTGATGTATACAGTTAACATACAGAAGTACTTTCTTAATTTCCATGCCCTTAGGTAGGGACTAAACTGATTTATAGCCTGTTAGAAGAGCAAGTATCTCTGAATACCATTTTACCAAAGATTAAAATTATTTGAAAATACTAAATTAAAAACAATTACTTGGGAAGAAGTATTCTAACTTACCAATGATCAGATTCACATGATTGCCACAAATTGGGTATGAATAAGAATTATTTAAAAATATAAAATGTAATAAAATGTACATAATTTTATGCATAAAATCATATTACACATATTATACCAATTTGTTTTTTTCTGAATCATAAAGTGCTTCAAGGACATCAATAAAGAACAATGACCATGTTTCTGTTAATTTGTATGTGAGCTCCTTGTTTCTTAGAGAATTATGGTTGACTGTTTGATAGATAAGTTTTATCTTATTTAAATGGACTGTGGTACCATCCATTTTTTTTCTCACTTAAGTTCTACACATAAATATGCATAAAATGTTGGTTATTAGTTATTCCTCTTTCTTTTCTTGTGTCATTTATTTTCTTCAATAAGTGGGCTTCAGGGAAAAATGAAACATTAGCTAAGGATTAAAAACAGTTACTTGTTCTTTTCCAAGTTACAAATTAGTGTTTGTAATTAAACTGCAACTTTAACAATGTATTTGTTTTGAATCCATCCTGTCGAGTGGTTACAAAATTGTCCAAATATATTTCTTCTAACCTAATGCTAATAATGTGCTGGCTTCTACATCTTTATAATTGTTCATTAGCTTCAAGCAGTATATTTTGACTTTTATGTCCTTGAAACTATGAAATTATGTTTCTATAATTCAGTTTTTCTTAATGTTTCTACTTTACTTAGAATGTGTAATGAAACTGAGATCTGAGACATTTTTAGAAATTCTGAACTGGGAATATCAGTTTAGTCAGAATAGTGTCAAATGTGGAATCCAAACAACATAATTGGTACTTTGAGGTTGAGGTTGATGTGACATTCTCTTGAACATATTTTAATGCTTATGCATATTTAAATTAAAATTTTAACCTCCTGACATTCAAACCAACAAGCCAATCACCATTCAACTAGAGAGACATGTCTTACAAATAAGATGACATCACAAAAGTCACTTGTCTTGAATCTATCTTCATTGCACAAGAGATTTCCAAAAAGCCTAATTGTTTACTAATATTTTGACAATGGATTTTTAATTAGAATAGCTTTTCCAATGTATTTTACACCCAGACTTCATCTCAAATATATTTGTCTATATACTAAAAGGCTGCTATCTAAAAATGAAGGTATGGTGTGAGTTCAAGCATGACATCCATTTTATTTTAAGATTTTATCTTTTTATATGGCAGGTAGGTTTCTGGCTATCCCACACAATATAATTTTTTGTTTGCAGGAAGATTGGATTAGGTAGGCATCTGTATTAGACATACACTATACCTTCCTATCAGAAACTACCTGTCCAGAAATAGTATTATTTATTGTATCAATTGTTGATCCTTGTTACCAGCATCAAAGTAGCAAGGCTTCTGCAGAGAAGCTTAGCTTTGATCATGGCCAGAGCCAGGTTGACAGGTTAAAGTTTGTTGTGCCCCAGTATGACCTTGTCATAACCCATTTTGGTGTCATACAGCTGAAGGCATCGTTTGCTTGAGGATTCTAACTTCTTGTGGAAGTGGTACCCCCATGGACAGCTGGGTCATGTTGGGAAAAAGGATCATCTTTCAACCCTTCAATGGTGTTTTTTACTTACAATTTCATTTTACAGTTATTAGAGTACCAGCTTTGTAGTAAAATACTGAAGTGAAAATTCTTATGTTTAATAGCAGGCAATAGTGAAAATTATTGTATCTGACTGAATCTGTACTTGCAGTGAACAGTTGAAATTTAAATTGGGAAGGTGCCAGTGGCCTATTGGCTTCCTTTCATAATTGTCAGGTTCCATGGAATTGAGGCATTTATTTTAATTCCAACTAACTAGAATAAGTTTGCATCCTGAGATCCAATCCTACTACTTAAAACCAAAATACACCAACATTTTATGGCACAGAAATACAGAAGATTCTTCTTGCCAATTGCCTCTGTGTTTATTTACTTCAAGTCCCAGAAGAACAACCCAGATCAGTTTGCCACGACATTATAAATAGCATAGCAAATTCATAAGGAGTCTTTTCTTCAAAGAATGGAAATGGCTCTGAAGTCTGACTAAACTCACAGTGTCCTTGTGAGAGAGATGGGAAGAGGCAGAATATTTTGTCTAATTTCAAGTTCAAGAAAGCAAAGAACACAAAAGTTAAGTGGCTGGTGTCCATTTATTCGAGTAAATTTATTCAGGAGTCGAGCCAGAAATAAAGATCAAGTCTCCTGGCCCATGTACTAGGCCCCATGCTGCCTCACAGCTTTCAAAACCTTCATTTTCTTGGAAAAAGCTAAAAAGCTTTCCTCTACCATACATACTAGATTCAGACACACTGCCATCTACTGACCCACCAAAGGATGTACCAGCTAAGACATCCTGACCTTCAAGGGAGAGAGGAACACCTCGAGAGGAGTTGAGATCCTGCTTTCCCTTCCGAATGCCATCTCCAGGATGCTAATGGGCTGTGTCTACAGTACTATGCAGGAAAGTGCTGCAACAGGTAAGTGAATTTAGAACATTTCGTCCCCGATCAAGGGATTAATATTCATATTAAATGCACCATGTCATCTATATGTGGGACATCCTTGAAATCACCCCTTCCTCCCAGTACTCTTATTTTGACATATTCATCTAGGGATTTGAATATTCTAAGACAACATTTCTTTTTCACATAAGACAGTCTGAGGAATGTTCTATGATTTTTCTGTTGTCTATTTTGTCTTTCACTGGTGTCCTATAAGATGTGCTAGTTATCCTGCATGATGCCAAAAAAAGCATAAGAGAAGCCAAGCTAAATAGTCACAGTCCTGTGCATGTAGAAAATACCATAAAGTGTCCAAAAAGAGCTCTAACAATAGGAGAACTAGGCTCCTAAGTATATTTTTGGTAAGATTCTTTTTTGTTCAGAGCCAAGGTATTTTTTTACCAGAAAAAAATATCAGTGTGTTTCTTGCCACTTCAACTCTTTAGAGCTTGCCTGCATTCTTCTTAGGATAACTGTAACATTTTCCAGACTTGATCAAGCAATGATGAATACAATTACTATTTTCATTCCATTTTTACAGCCCAAAATTAAAGTTATGATGTTTGTCTATTGATTGTGATTTACTTAGTTCATTGACTCTAAGAAATAAGTTGAATTTAAATATGTGGACCATATATTTCTTTGTTGATGAGAACAAATCAATAAAATTAATATCTTAACATATAATAGGTCTCTATAAAAGAATCCATATAGTAGCAGAAAGGTATCTGTGGCACCCCAGTTGCTTGTCTTCATTTGCTTTAAGATCTCAAGAAAAGTTTATTTCCTGGGATGCTGGTTCACAGGCATCGTGATTGAGGACTATACATAGAAAACTTATTTGTGAACATATAACTTATTTCTGTTCTTTGAGGATATGAAATATTATGTTCATGACAATTTGTTTTTATAAAAGAATTGGTTTGGCAGTTACAGGTAGTTAAGTAGAACTTATCCTTTGAAGTTTAGAGACTGAAACTCAATCTGAAGAAGACCATTGATTTAATTTGGAATAAATGTATGTGTCCATCCAAATTTTTACAGAAATATCTTATTTTGAAGTCTTCTTAGGCAGAAATAAGAAACTGTTGTTTCCAAGTGTTTTAAATGTCAAAAGGGTCTCTAAAATCAAGAAAGAGATGAGGCATGCCAGGAGAGATACATTAAGAATGGAAACATCTGGGAGTTTTACTGACTCAGTGAAACCAGGACATTGCGAAAATTTAATTGAGAAGTCTAAAGACAGAAAAGTCCAGTTCAGAAATCTGGCCCTCACATGTTCAGCCCTTAGTAAAGGCTTATTAGATGTTGCAAAATAAGAGTGAGGTCCAGGAATGGTTAAATGGGAAATGAGATGATAAAAGGTTTTGAAGAGAGAGGGAAGAAATGATAGGAGGGTGCCAAGGCATTTGAACATCTTTGGTATGAGCTTGGACAAGGTGCCAGATATTTGAAAAGCTTATCTGTGTTAAACAGAACTACTAAACTTATTGAGAAGCAGTAACAAGAACAAAATGTCCTTTAGCCTTGTTCCATTTAAAGCAGATGCACCTATACCAATCTTTTACAACATGATTATTTACATTTGCTGCTTATTGTAAAATCATCACAGGACATCAAATTGTCAGAATAAATAGATTTTTGAAATGCTGCAGAAACTATTTTCCTGACACTGGAACGGCAAATTAATTCAAGTGTAATCCATATGTTTCTTATGTTATTCATTCTTTTAATTTTTTCAGTCCTTGTATTTTGATGATATGAGTGATAACATCACATGTTGTTAAATACAGAATATAAGAAAAATTTCCCACAGAATCAAAAGTATTAGTAAAAATTAGTATGGTTTATTTTAGATAAAATATTAAATAATCAGTTAAATCTCCTAGACCTAGGTGAGCCAGAGGAAACACCGGCAGGGCCTGACATTCTTGTAGAGTTGAGGAGAGAGCTGAAAGTTCCCAGACAAAAGGAGCTACGGTTAACAGAGCATGAGAGAGGGGAAAGCTGCACCTGGAGAAAACTCCGGCAGTGGGGTCTGTCCCAAGTGTTTGAGTAGAGAACTGATCTGCACATGTGTGGGTGAAATCTACTCGAAACTGAAGAATGAACCTCTGGAAGGACTAAAGGGAACAATTCTTGGAGCTCATGTGAAGCCAAGAATATTTTATTTTTCTTCACCATCCAGAAGGGTCAATTCATCAAGAGGATATGGCATTCCCAAGTATTTATGCAGGTAGTAACAGAGCCTCAAAATACATGAAACAAAAATGGATAAAGCTTCAAGGAGAGACATATGCTGAAGCATAGTTGAAAGTTTCAATATTCCACTCTCAATTATTGATAGAAAAAGTTATGGTAATTCTATACAAACTCTTCCAAAAATTGAAAAGTACAGAATACTTTCCTAATCAGTTAATGATGCTAGCATTACTGTGACACCAAAACAAACAAATAAAAAAGCATTACAAGGAAAGAAAACCAGAGACCGATATTTCGCATAAACATAAGATATAATAATTCTTAACTACATGTTAAAAAAAAATCCAACAATATGTAAAAAGCATAATGTGTCATTACCAAATATATATTATCCCAGAAAATGCAAAATTGGTTTAACATTTGAAATTTATCAATGTTATTTATCATGTTAACATATTAAAAAGAAAAAATATGTAGCAATCTAAGTAGATTCAGAAAAAAACTAAGACAATGAGATGAACATCTATTACTGATAAGAACTCTCAGCACATGAGAAAAAGACAGGAATTTGATAAAGAAAAAACTATAGAAACCTACATATAACATCATATTTGTGTTAAGGTTTAAATGTTTTCTCCTGAGATAAAGAACAAGAAAACTTCATTCCCTTTTTTTCAACATTGTACTGAAGGTTCTAGTTAGGGCACTAAAGCGAGAAAAATAAATAAAACACATTCAGATTGAAAAACAAGTTTGTTTTTTTTTTGAAACAGAGGCTAGCTCTGTCACCCAGGCTGAAGTGCAGTGGTGTGGTCTGGACTCACTGCAACCTCTGCCTCCCAGGTTCAAGTGATTCTCCTGCTTCAGCCTTCTGAGTAGATGGGATTACATGTGTGTACTATCATGCAGTTCTAATTTTTGTATTTTTAGTAGAGATGGGGTTTCACCATGTTGACCAGACTGGTCTCAAACCCCCGACCTCCAGTAATCTGCCCACCTCAGCCTCCCAAAGTGCTGGGGTTACAGTCTTGAGCCACCATGGCCAGATGGAAAACAAGCAAACTTTTTATTTGCAGACACAATCAACTGACATCTACAAAAAAGCTATTAGAAACAATAAGTGAGCTTAGCAAGTTTGCAAGATGCAAGGTCAATATGCAATAAATAAATTGTATCTCTTTTTTTTTTTTTTTT